TTCGTTCATTAGTGTTCAAAGCCTCAAATCTGTTCCTGAGATGGTTCTGAAATTCAGGTGGGATAGACTCAAAGTCATATTTTGGTTGCCTCGGATATCTATGAGGTCCAGTTGGTGTATTGTATGGTTTAATTCTTGAGCATCTTTGTTGAGTTTTTTCCTGGTAGTTTTATCTTTTCTTGAGAGGGGTGTATTGAAGTTTCCAACTACTCTAGTTGTGTTGTCTATTTCCTTTTTTAGTTTTGTTCAAGTTTGTTTTATATATTTTACTGGTCTTTCATTTGGTGCATAGATATTTATTATCATTATGTCCTCTTGTTTTATTTACCCTTTAAGCATTATGCAGTGACCTTCCCTGTCCTTTGTGATGGTTTTTGCATTGAATTTTATTTTGTAGGAGATTAATATCACTACTCCTCCTTTTTTCTGTTTGCCATTTGCTTGCTATTTTTTCCTAGTCTTTTGTTTTTAATCTTTATCTTCATTTTTCAGGTGTGTCTCTTGTAGATAGCATATTTATGGTTTTTGTGTTTTTATGCAATCTGCTACTCTTTTCCTCTTCAGTGGTGCATTTAAACCATTCTCATTATTTGTTATTATTGAAAGGTAGGGTTTTATTGCTATGATTTTTGTTGAGTTCTTTTTGGTGTTAATGCTAGTTACTTTGCTCCATGCTGCTTTCTGTGGCATCTCAGTAAGGAGGACATCTATCTCTCAGTGTTTCCTCCAACACTGGTCTCATTTTTACAAATTCCTTTAGATTCTTTTTCTCTGGGAATATCTTGATTTCTCCTTCGTATCGGATGGATAATTTTGCTGGGTAGAGTATTCTTGGTTGACAGTTGTGTTCTTCCTGTGTTTGATATATGTCTTTTCACTGTCTTCTTGCTCGTATTTTTTCTGCTAAGAAATTGGCATTTAAAATTATCTGCTCTCCCTTACAGGTATTCTTTGTTTCTCCCTCACTACTTTCATAATTCTCTCCTTATCTTTGGTTCTGGCAAATTTAACTATGATAGGCCTTGGTGTTTTGGGGTTTTTTTTGTTCTGTTCTCTGTGGTGTTCACTTAGCTTCTTGGATATATATTCTCTCATTCTTAATTATGTGTGGGAAGTTTTTCACTAGTAATTCTTCCATAACTTTTTTGGTGCCTTTAATTGCTTCCTTTTTTGAGATTGCAGTGATGTGCATGTTATTTCTCTTGATGATGTCTCACATTATTCTTAGGTTTTCTTCTTTTTCCTTCCTTTTTGATTTTGTTTTTTGCTATAGCTGATCAGTGGTGACAATTCTATCTTCTATTTCACTGGTTCTGTGTTCCAGCTCTCCACCTGTGCTCTTGTGTCTTTCCATCATATTGGCAACATCTGAAACATTGAACCTCATACTTTAGATCGTGGTGTCTTGTTTTTCCAGTGCCTCTAATGCCTCCTTTGTTTATCTGCATTGCTTTGGATTGTTTTTTAAGCTCCTCCTGGTTTTTGCTCGCAGTGTCCTATAATTCTTCAAGTTTGTCTTTTATCCATTGAAAATATTCAGTCATTGTTCTTTTAAATTCTGTGTCAGAAAGTTACATCAGACATTCTGGCTTTAAGAAATCCATTGTTACTGTGTTGCCACCTTTTGGAGATGACATCTTGCTTTGCACTTGTGTAGTGTGCATGATAGCATGCTTTTGTCGAGACATAGATAGGTTCTTGATCTGAAGACTATGCTCTAGGAATCAGCTGGGCAGCTACCCCACCTGTGTGTTTATCTGAATTTCTAACTGAAGGGAAAGTTCATTTCTGGGCCTGGAGAGCAGCTTCTTGTAGCTAAGTCAGATCAAGGTGCTCCGGATTAAAGGCAAGTTGATTTACTGAAATTGTCGGTACAGCTGTGGAACTGAATGGGGGGGCAGGGCAGGCCCGGCGGGGGATGGGATGACCCACAGGGTAAGTCAGCCACTTGCGGGGACCTCACTCAGATTTCAGCTGTCCGGTGTGCTCATGAGTGTGGTCCCTACTCAAATTCCAGGTGTCTATTTCTCACCTACACCTCTCGCTCAGCCAAATTCCCACTGGCCTGTTCGTTCCTGGGTGTTCTCCCAGGCAGTTGGTGGTGCCCAAGGAAATTGAGTTAAATTCCTACTGGCCCATCCAATCCTGGGTGGTCGGTGGGGGTACAAGAAAGTTCAGTCAAATTTCAACAGACTTACTTGCACCTAGTGGGGCTTAAGAGAACTCAATTTCCTGCTAACCTTCTTTCTCCTGGCGGATGGGTCCCACAGCAGCTTGGCTGGCAGCTTCTATCTTCGGCCAGGCCGCAGCACCTCCTGTAGCTCCCAAACAAATGATTCCTACTATCCACGTCGCACTGCGTGTGGATAATGTGTGCCATGATGATGACTCTGGTGGCCCGTTTCTTTGCACCTTGCTGCTCCTTCAGCTCCTAACAGTGCTTTCTCCATCGCCACCATCTTGGAATCCTGGTCCCCCAGAATTCCATTTTTTTAAAAAAAATTTATTTGGTTAAAGGTAGAATGAAATTGTTCATGTTGGCAACACTGAAGTGGATGGCCAGAGATAACCCTGACTCATTAATGAGTGCACTCTAATGGTGTAATCTGTAAGGAGTTGTGCCAAACCAAAGGCTAGGGTCGGTCTGTCTCGTGTTTAAAATCCAGAAAGATGGCAGGTTCCTCCTCTCTAGTTTACAGCATCCGAAAATCTGCTGGAGGGTCGGTGAATTGGTTCTGGCTCTTCAGTAATGAGTTTTTCTCTCATTCTAATTTTATGACTTGAGACAAGACATTTATTTATGAAATTAAGGGAAACTGTAAAAAAAAAAAAACCTCTTAAAAATTTTAGACATTTTAAAGCTGCTGTTAAGATTAATTTTGAAATTATTGTCATTGTGTTAATGCTGCTTGTGAGAATTCTTGGGGGAGTTTTGCCCACCTCACATCCCTCATGTGCCATAGGCCTGCTTTAATTGATCCCAAGTGTATTTCAGGATCCTATGTGCCTTTTCCCTCTACTCCTTTCCCCTGCTGTATTCTCCACATGATCTTAATTTGCAGCAGGAGTTGAGAGCCACTGGCTTGCCAGTGGAAGAAATTTGAATTAAAGAGTATGAGAATTCTGGCAAACAGTTTCCAAGAAATACTGAAATTGACAAAACATACAGGAAACTCCTTAAAGCAGGTCCTTCATGTCGTGCATAGAGTCAAACAATTTTCTTTCATATTCTCATCAATACTCAATGTCTCTCTTGTATGTATCTTTTTAAATAGTTGGGCATGGACAGAAATTATAGGTAGACTTGTAATACAATATATTTCTAAAATAGAGTTTCCTAATTTACATTTTCTTACACCATGAAACATGTGAGAGCCAAAACACAACTGCCTCTTTTTCTGGGTTTCACAAGTTCTCCACCATTAACAGTCTGCAGCCTAACCCCTTTTTGTAATCCGTGTTAATTGAAATAATATTTTTTCTGACAAGTTCTTTTCCTAAATAATGGCTTTTGCAGGTTTTTACTGGATCAGATTTAGATATAAACTGGTTAAACTCAACTTTTAGTCTTTCCTTAAATTACTACTGAAATATTTTGTAAACTTTTAATAAATGCTTTGTCTTATGGCTTAAATAAATTGTATATTTCTTATACTGTTTAATGATGTCTATATTACTAAAGTGTTTTCTTTCCTTTCTTCAGATCATAGGTTTCGGGTCCGTTAAAATTGCAGCATTCATAGCTATGGTAGGAATTCTGTCTATTGTGGCCCAGGTCAGTATCAATTTAAACTTAACAATTCTCTTTTTAAAACTTTGTATTCTGAAAGAACCATTGATTCACAAAAGCCATAAAGAAATGTACAAAGAGGTATCATGAACCCCTCATCCTGATATCACTCCACCCCAATGGTAACATCTTACACACCTGTAGCGTAGTATCATTGATACAGTCCATAGAAATGTACTGTTATTCACATAAGCATGCTGTTTTTAAATATAATGCCTAATTTATAATTTTGTTATTGTTACGTGCTGTCAGGAGATGTAATACAAATTTTAGGTATTTTTAGAGTACATGAGAGGTCTTCTCATTCTTTTATTTCCATTAATGGCAATCAAAATTTTGAATAATTACCATCTAAATCCTGATATGGTAAGTCTGTTTAACCAAGAGAATTATTTTGTTTTAATATTAAAAAGTAAGAAATAGAAGCAGAAATCAAAATATGTGACTCTTCCAGCTGCTCCATTCCCCAGGATTAAAAAAGTATGGATCATGGATTAGAATATACAACTTATGCAAAACAGAACAGAGTTGGTAGAAAATTCTGGGGAATGGTTTCCTCAAAGTACTGAAATTACAAACCTTTTCAAAGTAGATTTACCTTAATGACTTGGCTGTACTAAAACTCTGTGCCAGTGAAAGGCCTTTATTGCTGATCCAGAGTGACTTAAGTTGACCAGAAATCATTGCAAACATCTATTAATAATTAGAATATAAAATGTACAAAATATGACTCTAGGAAATTTGGAGGTTATAAATAATTAAATAACACCCACAAGGATTGACATCCTGGGTATCAGTGAGTGGGACTGGACTGATATTGAACACTTTAAATCAGATAATAAAAAGGCCTACTCTACTGAGGAAGTCAAATAGAAGAGGAATGGATGACTTTATTGTCATTCTCATTGAAAACATTTCAAGATGATCTATGATGAAATGCACTGCTATCACAGGTAGGATAAGAATTTTTGATAAGACTTAATTAAAATATATGTACCAATCACTAAAGCCAAGGGTGAAGAAATTGAAGATTGCTACCTACTTATATAGTTTAAAATTGACCAAATTTGTAATCCACTACCCCTAATAACAATAATGATGTAAATCACATTTTTACATTTTCCTCCTGTAATTCTTTGTGTGTGTCTTCCCTTTCTTTAGTGATTATGTACTAATCATCCCTTTATTGGATAGTGCCTTGCCCTTAACCCATCTTAGTATATTCCTGTTATATATTTACGTATTTTTACTCCCAGGAATTGATGGAATACCAATTGATATGTTTCAGCAAGCAGATTCCGCTGTGGTCATGCTCACTAGTCTATGCCAAGAGATTTGAAAGATATTTTACCTGGCCATCTGACTGGAAGCTTCTAAATCTTTTGAGTCTTTTTTTTTTTTTACACTAAACTAAGGCTAAATGAAAATACCAGAATATACCAGTTGGACTCCTCTACAGATTCCACTTGAAGACATACTCAGGAATGTATCTCATTTGTTGCATAGGAACTGTCACTTACTTATTTTAGCAAAGTATATATTTATTAAGATGAAATCTCATCTTTGTAAAACTATTAACCTCTAACAGAAGCCCACCTATTGTGTGTGTTTTTAGTAGGGATTTCCTATTCACTGATGGTTGAATAATTAGGATTTCCTAAGTTACTGTAAGTATTTTTTTACTAGTCTTGCAGCTGGTCAGTAGCCATTACAAGGATAGCCCAGTAACTTATGGGGAATGCTAGAAAAACCCTAGACAGGAAGAGTGTGAATGCCCTGAGCCACATGTGTATTTTGAGAATTTTTGAAGTACTATCCTTATAGAACTGAGTCAGTACTGTCCAGTCTCCAAGATTAAAGACTATGAAGTGGACCTTTGGAGGTCCTTGTCATTGGTCAGTGGGTCTCCTACATAGAATTTGCATTCAAATTCTTAGTTTATATGACTTCTCAGGATTCTCCTTTACTTTGCAGACAGTCTTTCTTAGCATTTTGATGAGATCATTAGGACATAAGAACACTGTCCTGCTTGGCTTGGGCTGCCAGATATTCCAGTTGGCATGGTACAGTTTTGGATCTCAGGCCTGGTAAGCCTTTCCCTCAGATGCTTGTGCAAAAACAGACTAATGCTTTTATTGGTTTCTTTTCTTTTTCTTTTGTCTTTCAGTAATGTATTTTTGTTACTTTAAATATTACAGTTTTTTCATTGGTTAGTTACTGTAACAGAGTCTAAAATCAGGGACATTTGCAGTATAAAAATAGAGCCTTAACTCCATTTTCAAGTCTTAACATGAGTTTTGAATCTTTGTTGGATTTTTTTTTTTAATTTTATTTGGTAAAACATATGGGGGTACAAGGAGGTGAGGGTTGGGGGCAGAAGAGTGAGGATGGGCAGGGATAAAAATTGCAGGGGTGCAGTTGCAGAGCTGCACAGTTTGGTTGGTGGGAGAGCAGGTGAAGGAAATGAAAAGGATCCAGTGGGGAGCAGATTCTACAGGGGAATGGTAAGCATATTCCACTGGTGATTAAACCAACTGTCTTATTGATTTGGGAACTGGATGCAGACTGTCTGGCTTCTTCATGCTGAACAGGGGCATTGATGTGAAGGGGGAAAGGGACTTTATCACCTTGCTGGTGGTCTTGGGTTAAAGCTGCTTGCCTTCTTGTTCTGTTAGAAGAAATTTTCCTGTCATTTGCCCCCCTCTGGACTGCAAAGTGTTTTCCCAGGTGGATCCAATGGGGATGGCTGGTTGAACCCAGAGGCTCCATCCTCCTTTGCTTCCTTAGCTGGCAGTTGTATTTCCTTTTTGTTACTAGCACTGGGTTCAGGGGCAGGTCTGAAGTAAAACTCAGTGTTAAAGTTACCTATAGGAAAGGGAGCAAACCTAGAGAGAACAAACTTGTGAGTTACAAATAGAAGGGCTTTGGGGGTGTTGCGTTCAGGTTTACTGGGGGGGGGGTGGAAAGTAGCCTAGATAAAATTCTCTGGATACCCTAGGCATATTTTTCCCACCCAGGGGTCAGATAGCACAACCTGGGGACTGAGGAGCTCACCCTGAGGGCTGTGACGGCTTGCCCCGAGCTGGGGGCCGAAGACAGCCCGCCCTGAGCAGAGGGCCGTGATGGCTCGCCCCAAGCCGGGGGCCGAAGACGGCCTGCCCTGAGCAGGGCAACACCCCCCAGGGGCTGGCTGGTACACACCCTCTCCAATTGCCCCCACCCCAGTCGGGACCCCTCGCCTGACCGAAGACTGTGTGGCCAGGGACAGCGTCCCCAGTTCCAGCACCGCCACTTTTACCCCCCTCCTAAGTGGTCATACTATAATTTGAAGTAGGTGTCACTGCCCTGCCCCTTTATAAATGGCAAAGGGAACCTGAGAGTTGTGAGCAGGCTCCCCCCAGGTCTAAGCAGCTCTTGGCAGAAGCATTCAAAGTATGTGGTGCATTTAGGATGTCAGTCCTCTTGGACATGCTGCCACTGTTAAGTGTCATCAAGTAGACAACTCACAGTGACTTTCAGCAATCCATTGTATCGGTGATCATCTTCTCTGGCCTGTCCAAAGAAACCCAAACCTGCAGGTGGGAGGGCACTTGTCTCCCTCGGCCACTCCCGCTGCCACCATCTTGACTCCAAGAATTCTCCCCAGAACAAGTCCACTTTGTGGCAGTGTGGCGGCTCCATGCTGCACCAATCTCGGGGAGGTCCAGTGCCTACCATCCATCTTGGGTGAGGGAATCCGTGGGTTCCGGCAGTGGGAGCCTCATGGAGCTGCTGCGGCGGTGTGATGTGGGCTTGGTGGGAGGGGGCTGGGAGCTGCAGGATTCACCCATTCCTCCTTGGGAATCCTTGAATTCCTGTTGTTGAGCCTCAGTCTTCACTGAAGAACAGTCATCAACTGTTTAACTGTTCAATTATCAATAAACAGATCTGTAGAAGGCCATAGTGGCCTCCTCCAAGTGGTCTGCTGCTCCCGCAGCTCACCACATTGTCTTTGCCTCCGCCTCCATCCAAATCTTTTTTGGATTTTTAAAATTACTTTTATAAATTGTAGTTTCTTTAATTGATTCTGGCTTAGACCATGACCTCAAAGACAACATTCCTTTTACCTGAGATTTGGCTTAGCCAAGATAATTTGTTTCCAAGGATCTGTGTCATTATAAACAAATAGATGAAAGATTTGAAGGGTTTTGAGGTATAGCATTATCTCAGTCTTTATAGTGGCCTTCCAGAAAAAAGACTTGATTGTAGAAGAGTAGAGTACTAGAAAAACCTGATCCTGCCCATCTTGGTACCATCCTCACATAAACTAGTTGGCATATACTTTTGACCAGTCATGTAATCCCACTTAGATACTCTGTTCCCTCCTGCTACAAGATTCTTTCTAGGTATCTTTTATAAACACACGTTCAACTAAGTAACTAGTTTCTGAAAATTCATTAAAGTGAAAACAATCTTTACAAATAAACCTCAATTACGTAGCTTTACCATTCTGCAAATTATAATCTGAACAGCTTTTGAAAGGCTGAATAAACATAACTCGTGTGTACAAAGTTCTATAACATTATAAAGTTCTGTAGTACTCCTGTTGCATTCAACCACACCAAACTCCTTTTAAAGAAGCATTTGTTTCAAAAATTTAGCTGAATGTGTGTTTATAGAATTTACTCCAGATATCCCCAGTAATCCTTAAACACATTTGTCAATTTTTAGAGATGTTGAATATAGTCAGCAAAACAAAAGGGAACACGACTGATGGTCATGGTGACTAAACAATATTATTTGGCTGTGTTCTGATATAAAAAATACAACAACTTGAAGACCAATGGAAAAATAAACCTTTGAGAGTTATGGTGCAAAGATTTGAAAATTAATGAGGAAAATGTAGTGTTTATAAAAGCAAAAGAAATCCCCTTATGAATGATATAGAGTTTCTATCTGAAGCCCATAATAAGGTAACCAGAAAGAAGAAAGCATTTTTAAAGTTGTTGTTGTTGTTATGTGCCATTGAGTCGCTTGTGACTCATAGTGACCCTCTGTACAAGAGCCCTAAACGCCGTTCTATCCTGTGCCAACCTCTCCGTCCCAAACACACTCATTCCCACCAATCCACTCACAGAATCGATCCATGTCATCGTGGGTCTTCCTCTCCTGTGCTGTACCTCCACTCTCCCAAACATGATGTTTCTCTCCAAGGACCAGTCCCTCCTTGCAACATGCCCAAAGTATGTCAGACAAAGCTTTAGAATCCTTGACTCCAAGAAGCATCCCAGCTTCACCTTCTCCAGGACAAACCTGTGTGTTCTCCCAGCAGTCCATGGTATATTCAACACTCTTCTCCAGCACCACAGCTCAAAGGCATCAATTCTCTTTCTGTCATGCCTATTCACTGTCCAACTCTCCAATGCATAGCACATAATTGCAAAGAATAGCCTGGATAAGGCACACCTTAGTCTCCAGTCTGACATCATTGCTCTTCAGTACTCTTGAGAGGTCCCTCACAGCTGACTTTCCCAATGAAATTCATCTCCTGATTTCTTGGCTGCTGTTACCAAGAGTGTTGACTGTGGAACCAAGTAAACTTAAACTGTTAACTATCTCAATCTCTTCACCATCCATACTGATGCTGCCAATTGGCCCAGTGGTGAGAATCTTTGTTTTCTTGATGTTGAGCTTCAGTCCATATTGAAGACTGCAATCCTTGATCTTCTGCAGCAAGCACTTCAGGTCCTCCTCAATTTCAGCAAGCAGGGTTCTACGTCATCTGCATAACGCAGGTTGTTGATTATTCTTCCATCAGTCCTGATGCCACATTCCTCCTCATACAGCCCAGCATCTCAAATAATCTGTTCTGCATATAGATTGTAAAGGTATGAAGACAAAATACATCCCTGACAGACCCCTTTCTTGATTTTGAACCATCCAGTGTCTCCCTGCTCTGTTCTGACTACTGCCTCCTGGTCCAAGTATAGGTTTCGCATTAGCACAATCAAGTGTTATGGTATCCCCATTCTTCTCAGGGTCAGCCATAGCTTGTTGTGATCCACACAGTCAAAAGCCTTTGCATAGTCAATGAAGCACAGATAGACATTCTTCTGGTATTCTCTGCTTTCTGTCAAGATCCATCTAACATTAGGTATAATATCCATAGTACCACAACCTCTTCTAAATCCAGCCTGCACATCTGGCAGTTCTCTGTTGACATACTGTTTCAAACGTTTTTGGATAATTTTTAGCAGAATCTTGCTTGCATGTGATATCAATGATGTTGTTCGATAATTTCCACATTCTATTGGGTCACCTTTCTTTAGAATGGGAACAAATATCGATCTCTTCCAGTCAGTTGGCCAGCTAGCTGTCCTACCGATTTCCTGGCACAACTTAGTAAGCACATCCAGAGCAGTGTCTGTTGAAATAAATTAATTGGTATGCTGTCAACTCCTGGAGCTTTGTTTTTTGCCAATTTCTTCAGAGCAACTTGAACTTCCTCCTTCATCATAATTGGCTCTTGTTCATATGTTATTTCATGAAATTCCTGTGTCAACCAATTCGTTCTGATACAGTGACTTTGTGTTCTCCTTCCATCTTCTTTTTTGCTTCCTGAATCATTTAACATTCTACCCAAAGTATCCTTAAGTATTGCCACCCGTGGCTTGAATTTGTTTTTCAACTCCTTCAGCTTAAGAAATGCTGAGCGAGTCTGGCCCTTTTGATTTTCTGACTCCAGCTCTCTCCACATTTCATTATAATATCTTGCTTTGTTGTCCTGAGCTGCCTTTTGTAATTTTCTGTTCAGCTCTTTAATTTCTTGATTTCTTCCTTTAGCTTTGCCTTCTTGGCGCTCTAATGCAATATTCAGAGTCTCATCTGACATCCATCTTGGTCTTTTCTTCTTTTTCAGCCTTTGTAATGATCGTTTGCATTCTTCATGGACGATTTTCTTGATATCCTCCCAGAGCTCATTTGGTCTACGCTCATTGGTGCTCAAGGCCTCAAACCTGTTCCTGAGATGGTTTTGAAATTCGAGTGGGACAGACTTAAGATCAAATCTTGCTTCCCGTGGACTTGATTTAATATTCCTCAACTTCAGCTTGAACTTGCATATGAGTAGTTGGTGGTCTGTCCTACAGTCAGCGCCCAGCCTTGTTTTCACTGCTGATATTGAGCTTCTCCAGCAAGTCTTTCCACAAATGTAATTGATTTGATTCCTGTGTATACCATCAGGTGAGATCCATGTGTGTAGCCTGTGTTTATGTTTCTTTTGAAAGGTATTTGCAATGAATACATCATTGAATGTGCAGAATTCTATCATTCTATCTCCAGCCTCATTTCTCTCACTGAGCCTGTGTTTTCCAGCTACTGATCCTTCTTGCCTATTCCCAACTTTTGCGTTCCAGTTGCCCATTATTATTAATGCATCTTGATTGCATGTTTTATCAATTTTTGACTGCAAAAGTTGGTAGAAATCTTCTATTTCCTCCTCTTTGGTTCTAGTTGTTGGTGCATGTATTTGAATGATAGTGATATTCACTGGACTTCCTTGTATGCGTATGAATATTATCCTTTTGTTCACCACATTGTATTTCAGGATAGATTTAGAAATGACTTTTAAAATTATGAAACCAACCCCATTTTTTCTCACCTTTTCATCCTTGGCATAGTAAGTCATATGAACATCTGATTGAAAATGTCCCATGCCAAACCATGTCATTTCTCCAATACCTAGTGTGTCAATATTTATGCGTCTCATTTCTTAACAATGTCCAATTTTCCTATATTCATGCTTATCACATCCACATTTCAATCACTGGTATCTCCTTACAGCTGTTCCTCTTTCTTTTTGTTTCCATTTCTAAGGTCTCAGTTTCAATTGCCATGTCTGTTAGTCCAACTGTGCTCTATTGTACATAGAGTTTTCGAAGGCCTGTCATTTCGGAAGTGGATGGCCAGTCCTTCTTCCTAGTCTGTCTCAATTTTTAAATATATATAATAGTATCTGACAGACAAGCATTCTACTACAGAAAAGAGTAGATGAAAGACATTTACTAATTAGAAAAAGACCAGTATTCAATGTTGCTGCCCACCCCGCTACATGTTTTGTTGGTTTTTTGTTTTGTTTTGTTTTTTTATCCACCCTTTCTGTACTCCACTACCAACCCTTCCTACTTTTACCTATAACATTCAACACCCGTCTCCCGTTGACCAGCCCCTGATGTGACGGCCTAAGTCTCAAGCCATCAGGATTTCTTTGATTCTTACCATATCATGCTGCTGTCAGTCTCTTATGATGCAGCCAGTATGACTTCAATTTAAAGTTAAGTAAAAAATTAAACTATCAAGCTCCTTTACTCCCATAAGCCCTTAAAATGATGAATGTAACAGTGTTGATGCATAACCAGCCTTCCATGACTTATAATTTTTAAAAAAAGAACTTTATATAAGAAAAATATGTATACTCTTGTTACTGATTTTACTCTGAACATTAAGCTGTCTGGGCTGGTCTGCCCTACCTCACTGCAACCTATCTTACCCTTACAGGATGATGTGGGCAGCAGGGACTGTGGCTGCCATGTCCAGCATCACATTTCCAGCAGTCAGTGCCCTTGTCTCACAGAATGCAGAGTCTGATCAGCAAGGTGAGCTTACTGTTGCCCTCATTGTTGCTTCTTTTTCAGCTGAGACCTACTTGTCAAGTACATAAGAAACTCTGATGCCCCTCTATGGAGCCAGAGGCATGACTTCTATGCTTAGTTTTCAGAAAAGAAGGTTTCAGGGAAATGTTGGGTTTTTTGGCTCTGTATTATGCTTTGACCTTATAGTAATGTTTTTAAAACTTGAATATATCACTTTTAGAATGTTATAGATAGAACTACCCATCTTCCCTTTTCACCCTATACCTATTCATTCTGTGTGCTGAGCTGATTATTTAAGAAACTGAAATTTATGAAGAATGTAGCATTAAGATCAGAGGAAGACTCAACAATAATCCATGTTGTGCAGGTGATAATAGTCTTGCTTGAAGCACCAATTGCCAAAGATCAAGGAATATAACCTTCAATATGGATTACATCTCAATGTCATGAAAACAAAAATTCTTACCATTGTACCAGGAGAAAACATTGTGATAGATGGAGACAAGATTTATGCTGTCATTGATTTCATCTTTCTTGGATACACAATCAACTCTCTTGTTACCAGTGGTCAGGAAGTCAGAAGATGTATTGCACTAGGAAAGCCTGCAGTCAGAGACCTCTCCAAATTATTGAGGAACAGTAGTGTCAGTTTGAGGACTAAAATGTGTTTGATTCAGACGATAGTCTTTCTGATCACTTGCTGTGCATCTGAAAGCTGGAGAATGAATAAGGATGATAGAAGAGAAAGTCATGCCTTGGAGCTGTGGTGTTGGAGAAGAGTACTGAATATCCCATGGACAACCAAAAGAACAAATATGTCTTAGAAAAAGTGCACCCAGACTGCTGCTTGAAGGCGAAGATGTCGAAACTTCATCTCACATACTTTTGGCATGCTACTAGCAGAGCCTATTTCTTGGAGAAGGACATAATGCTTGCAAAGGTGGAGAAGTGGCAAAAGAGAGGAAGACCCTCAATCCGGTGGATTGACACAGTGACTACCACAGTGGGCGCTAGTGCACCAATAGAAAACATAGTACCAATAGAGGGTTTAGATCTGTTGTTCATAGGGTCGTACTTCACTTGGTGGCATATAACAACAGCAGTTGTCCCTTTTTGGTTTTGGTTTATCTTTTGTCTAACTATCAGAATTAACTAGAATAATCTACTACTCTACAAGAGAAAGTAGAGTGTTTCCTCCTGGCAGCCTCAGAAACACAATAGTAGATAGTGACGCACAGGCAGTGGGTCGAGTTTGAGTGATATTACATGTTGGTCTGCCAACTGAAAGGTCACCTGGTTTGAAGTTACCAGCTGAATTTACCAACTTTCAAGGAGAAAGATGAGCCTGTCTGCTTACATAAAGACTGACAATCTCAGAATGGGAGCTCTGCTGGCCAAGTGGTCTGGAGCTGTGCTGTCAGCTAAAAGGCATGTGGTTTAAATCCACATACTGCTCCATGAGAGAAAGATGGACATTCTCCTCCTGTGCAGTTAACTGTCTCTGAAAACCCAGTAGAGGGTCACCTCTCAAGGCACTTTGGAATTGGCTTATCAGCACTATGTTTAAGTATACTTGGTTTTTCAGAGATGTTTATTAAGTTAAATATTTTATTGCAGAACAGTTAGTAAATAGTTATGTAAGATTAATTTAGATTCTTTATTTTGGGTTTTTTTATATTACTCTGATTTATTTACAAAGTTTGAATTAATTGTTTTTACCAAAAGGTCTTTCCCATTTCCTTCACCCCACCCACCCATTGAATTGTGCAACCCTATGAGAAGAAGTAATTCTGGATAGTTGTTGATAACTGGTTGTAGATTAAGAGGAAATTAAATGAAGTGTCTAAATTCTTAATTCATTCATTCTTTTTTTTAATTCATTCATTCTTGTGCCTCTGACTTTTCTAAGTTCTTGAGGCCAGAAGTAATTTCTTCTGTATTTCTTAATGCCTCACCTTAATACAGGGGAGTTTTTTTAGTTCTGATGAACTCTTTTAAAAGTTTAATTAAAAACTCAGATTGGGAAAGATAGTTTGCTCTTTGTACCTGTATTTTCTGCATTAGAATTGGCCACCTTATTTATTCATATTCCTTCATGCCTCTGAAACTCTGTGAACTTTGATAAATGTCAATAGTTATAGAGGGGCTTCTCCATACTATTCAGTCTGTATGCTGAGCAAATTATCCAAGAAGCTGGACTCTAGGAGGAAGAGTGTGACATCAAGATTGGAGGGAGACTAATTAATAACCTGCATTATGTAGATGACACAACGTTGTTTGCTGAAAGTGAGGAGTGCTTGAAGCACTTGTTACACAAGATCAAGGAATGCAGCCTTTGGTATGTATTGCATGTCAATGTTAGGAAAACGAAGATTCTTAACACTGGATCAGTAGACAGTGTCATGATGGATGGAGAAGAGATTGAAACTGTCAACAGTTTAACTTTGCTTGGATCCACAATTAACACCCTTGGAATAAGCAGTTCAGAAATAATACACATTGCACTGGAAAAATCTTCAGTTAGAGACCTTTCCATATTATTGAGGAGTAATGTTGTTAGTTTGAGGACTAAAGTGCGTCTGATTCAGGCCATAGTCTTTACGATTACTAGCTATGCATCTGAGAACTGGACAGTGAAAAAGGATGACAGAAAAGAATTGACATCTTTGAGCTGTGATGTTGGAGAAAAGCACTGAACATCCCATGCACGGCCAAGAGAACAAACAGGTATGTCTTAGAGAAGGTGTAACCAGAGTTCTCTTTGGAGGCAAGAATGATGAGGCTTCTCCTCACATACTTTGGACATGTTACTAGGAGGGACTATTGCTTGGAGAGGGACTTTATGTTGGGAAGGGTGGATGTTCGGCAAAAGATAGGAAGACCCTCAGTCAGTTGGATTGATGCAGTGACTGCTGGAATAAGCTTTTATGTGTCAGAAAGTGTGAGGATGGCACAGGATAGATCAGGGTTCAGATCTTTTGTTTATAGAGTCACCATGAATTGTACGTGACATGATGGCACCTAAAAATAGCAACAACAACAATATAGTTATTATAATAACAAAGAAAGGTGATCCACCAAAATGTGAAACTTACTGAACAATCTCATTAATACCACAAGCAGGCTGAAAGTAGAGAATACGAGAAGAATGTCTATTTATGTTTTATTAACTATGCAGAGGCATTTGGCTGTGCTCATATGAGACCTAGACCAGGAAGCTTTTGTTTGAACAAAACAAGGTAACATTTTATGGTTTAAAATCAGGAAAGGTGTACATCAGGGTTATACACCTTTCTCTATACTTATTTGGGACTCTATTAAGAACAGTGTGACATCATAATTGGAGGAAAACTTATCAACAACCTTCATTATGCAGATGACACAATCTTGCTCACTAAAAATGAGGAGGATTTGTAGTGTTTATTGTAGAAGAACAAAGACTACAGCCTTCAATATGGATTGCAACTCAACAGCAAGAAGATAAAAATCCTTACCACTTGGTCAGTAAGCAACATGACACTTGATCAGTAAGCAACATGACAATGTGATTATTATTGTTGTTTTAACAGATGCCATCGAGGTACCTTCTCACTGAGGGTTTTTCTCTCCTTCACTGACTCTCCTTTCACTTTCAAGAATGATGTCTCTCTCTAGAGAATAATCTCAAACAGCATGTCTGAAATATGTGAGACCATCATTGCCCCCAAGGAGCACTTTGACTACACCTGCTTCAAGACATGTCTGTTCTTTTGGCAGTCCATGAATATTCAATACTCTTCCCTAACAGTACATCTCAAAGGCATTGATTCTTCTCCTGTCAATCCTTATTCACTGTCCTGCTCACAGATACATAGTAGGTGATTTGAAACACTATGGCTTAAATCAGGTGCACTTTAGTCTTCAAATTGACATTGTTGCTCTTTAGGACTTTGGAGATGTCCCTAATAACAGACCTTTACAATGTTACACATCTCTTGATCATAAGATGATATCATTGATGACTTCAGGTTTTTCTCAGTCTATCATAATCTTGCCTGTTAGATGGGGACAAGTTTGAAATTGTCAACAGTTTCATCTTACTTATCTCCAAGGCCAGGAGTCAGAAGACATTTGCCTCTGGGAAAGTCTGCTGTCAGGGACCTCTCCAAAATATTGGAGAAGAGTACTGAACATCCATCCCATGGACTGCCAAAAAAACCCCAAAAACAGATATACCTTGGAAAAAATGCAGCCTTAATAGTCCTTGGAAGAAAGGATGGCAAAGCTGCTGCTTGTATATTTTGGGCTATTCCTTGGAAAAAGTCATTATGCTTGCAAAGGTGGATGATCAGCAAAAGGGAAGAACTTCAAACAGATTGACTCAGTGACTTCAGCAATGGGCTCAAGTGTGTAAGCCATAGTGAGAATGGCACTAGGTAGGACAAAGTTCAGATCTTTGGTCTGTTATTCACATCTGTTGTTCATGTGTTTCATCTGAGGTTGTCCAGTGGTTAGGATTTTGGGGTTTTTTTTATGTTGAGATAGAGCTATATTGAAGAATGTAGTTCTTGATCTTATGCAGCAAATGCCTCAAGTCCTCCTCACTTTCTGCAAGCAAGGTTTGTTATCTGCATAACACAGGTTGTTGATTAGTCTTCCCCAAATCCTGATGACATATTTAGTATCAGGATATATGGAACTATTTAAAAGATATTTATTAAGTATTAATATCTATTACTAAATAACAATATAACCTCAAAATTAATAAACCTTTTTATCAATTTAAGAAGAAATTCATAAGCTCAGTAAACACTAAATCAACAGCAACAAAGAAAATGATAAATTTTTTCTCATAAGTAGAAAGATAAAAATGCATTGGACAAAGAACATAGAATCAAAACCAAAATACACAAAAAAATGAAAGCAGTGAATTCATACCTGTGCCTAATTACACAGAATATACATGGATTGTAGTCAGGAGATGGAGAGTTGACTGAGAAAACATGGTCCATCAATATATTATTTACAAAAGATACACCTTGGACACAAAGATGAGAAACTAAAAACCAAAGGATTGAAGAGTATTTATCAAGCTGATGGCAACCAGAAATGAGCAAGAGTGGCAGTATTAATGTCCAAAAAAAATGGACTTTAAGGCAAAAATCAGCATAACATTTTCAGCACAAAAAAAAGTATTAAGCTGTAAGTGCAACAATAATAGTTTTTATACACTATTTCCTGTGAAGATATGGAAAGATATGCAAAGATATGGAAGAACTAAATAATACTTTCAAACAACTAGACCTCATAAATAACGTGCACAACACTTCACTCAATCTATATTCTTTTTCTGGAACATTCTTCAGGGTAGACTATATATTAGGCCACAAAGCAAGCCTCAGTAGATTTGAAAAATTGAAATATTACAAACCATCTTCTTAAATCACATGCTATAAAATTTGGAAAATCAGGTACTTGGAAACGGAATGACACTGCTTAAAAATGATTGAGTAATAGAAGCTACTTCTGCCCGTTTTTGAGTTGTGCCTGTACATTTTGCAGAAACATCTGTATACCAGGCATATCTTCTTCACTCAACTGAGAATAAAATAACTTTCTATGAGACCATAGGTACTTTTTGGGAAACAGAAAGTCATGTGACAGTGGAAATCAGTGGACATTTAGGTTACTTTATGTAGCATATGTGTGCCTTTGAAGCTTCCTGGTGCCCCATCCTATATATACCACTTCCATTTAATGATACAGTGTTACTGTGTATGTCCAAACTGGAAACTCCTTTTTTAGGTCAGACACACTTGAGGATGGACAGCTCAGTCCACTTGGTGACTTATGGTTAGGCTTTCATCTTATTTTTTTTTAATTTATTATTCATTTCAATGAAAATTTACAGAGACTTTGGATTTCCATTTATTCATTGTTGCACTTTTCTCCCCTCCCAACCCTCCCCCCTAGTACACTACCGTCTTGGAAAAGTAAAAGAAAAATTCTTTCATTGTTTTGCAATCACTCCCCCCCAGGTCCACTCCACTATGCAGCCTTCATTCTGGACTCCTATCATGACAGAAATACCTAATCACATATCCCTTTTAAACAGTTTTCTCCCTCATCTGTTTCAATGCAGTATACATTATTGAACCCATCTTTCCCAGTATCCCTCCAACCCCGATGTCAGTCCTGTTTTCCATCAGTGGCACCATGCAGTATTTGTCCTTTTGTGACTGAGATACATCCTCCAGGGTCACCCATTTAGAATAATATTGCATGAGTTCCCTGTTTTTCAAGACAGCGTAGTATTCCATCGTGTGAATATACTACAGCTTCTCTATCCATTCATTTGTTGATGGGCACTTAGGTTTTTTCCAACTCCCTGCTTTTTTGAACAAAGGTACAATAAACATGGGTGTGCATTAGGCTTTCCGTTTACACTATGCCCCTGTAGTAAGCCAAAAGTAATTTTTTCAAAAGGAATATAGTTATCTGCAGATGATGACTGGTTTTCTCCAAAATCTAAGGGTCTGCATTGTGATTCGCCAGTGTTGTTAGGTGCCATTGAGTCGAGTATCACTCATAAAAACCCTTATCCTGTGCCATCCTTAAATTTCTGACACACTCAAACCTGGAGTCACTGTGTTAAGGGTCTTCCTTTCCTTTGCTGTTCCTCCACCGGTCTAAACATGATGTCCCTTCTCAAGGAATAACGGCTAGCAACATTCCCAGAGTTTGTGAGACAAAGTTTCATTATCTTTGCATCCAAGGAGTACTCTGGCTACACCTGCTCTAAGACATATCTGTTATTTTGGCAGTTCGTGGGATATTCTACATTCATCTCCAACATAAAACCTCAAAGGTATCAATTCTTCTTCTGTTATCTTTATTCATTGTCTAGCTCTCTGATGCATAGCAAGTTACTGAAAAGATGATGACATAAAACCATCACACCTTAGTCCTCAAACAGACATAATTGCTCCTCAGTTATTTGGAGAGGTCCCTAACTAAAGCCTTTCTCAGCTTTCCCGATCTTCTTACTGCTATTCCCATGTGTACTGATTGTGGATCCAAGTAAGATGAAGTCATTGGCAGTCATTTTCTCCATCTATTATGATGCTGCTTGTCGGTCAAGGGTTTTAATTTTCTTGATGTTGAGATGCAGTCCGTATTGAAGGCTACAATGTTTAATCTTCGGCAAGTGCTTCAAGACCTCACTTTAGCAAGCAAGGTTGTGTCATTGCATAACAAAGGTTATTCATAAATCTTCTGGAATCCTGATGCCACATTATTCATAGAGTCCAGCTTCTTGAATAATTTGCTCAGCATACCAATTGAATAGATGCAGGGAAAGGATACAATCCTCATGCACACACTTCTCCTAATTTTTAACCATGCAATGTTTCTTGCTTTGTTCAACTGATATTTGACAAGGAAATAAAAATTATCAAATGGGTAAATGACAACCTCTTCAACAAGTGGTACTGGCAGAACTGGACTTCTACCTACAGAAAGCTGAAACACAGGATCCACATCTCACCCCATACACAAAAATTCACTAAAGATGGATCAGAGAGCTGGGAATAAAGCCCAAAACCATAAAGTTCATAAGAGACAAACTGAGATCAAGCTTAGATGGCCAAGTCTGTGTTATAAAGAGACTGCCAGATACAGCCAGAAATGCACATTGTGAAGAGGATAAAATTGATGAATGAAGCCTTCTAAAGATTAAATCCCTGTGCACATCAAAAACTTTTTCCAACAGAGTAAATAAAGAACCTACCAACTGGGAACAAACATTTGGTAATACCATCTCAGACAAGAGTCTCATAACAAAATATTCCTGGACCTCCACAAAAAAAGGACTGATAACCCTATTACAAAATGGGCAAAAGACTTGGAAATAATTTTCAGAGGAAGATACTCGAATGGCCAACAGACAAATGAAGAAATTCTCCAAGTCACTGGCAAATTTTTAAAAATAAACTAGTTTTAAAAAGAAATACTAAAGCCCAAAAACTGTTAGTTATTGTGTTGCTGATTGCCTTCGAGTCGACCACGACTCATCGTGACCCTATAAACAAAAGGCTTAATGCCCCTCTACAATTGTCAACATTTATCAAAATTTGTTGAGTTCCCGGAGGCATCTTATTTAGAACGTGGATGCCACTCCTGCTTCCAAATTATTATCATTTTGAATGATAAAACTTAAGACAACCAGAGGTACATACACACAGTAACATACTACACAGCATTAAGAAAACATTTACACACACACTCAAAAACATAAATAACCTCAACCTGAAGGTACACAGTAGTCTTTCATTTTGGTGGAGATGTCACCACATTGATCATCATATTGTGGGAAATTACCACTAATTGATTTCAGACACACACTGTCCATGCCTTCTGTCATTCAGGGCACAAAATCCTCTTTGGATCACTTAACTCACTCATTGCCTTCTAGCCGGAACCAACTCATAGTTAACCCTCCAGCAGTTTGTCAGTGGCCTTAAATCACACAGAAGAGACTGGCCCATCTTTCTCCTGAGTATCTGCTGATGAATTTGAAGCAACTGAGAGATGCCCCCCTTGAGTTAGCAGCACAACTCCCTATGGACTAGGCCATCAGAGTTTTCCTTCATATAAATATAGATGTTTCTAACTGTAAGCATACTGAGCTTGTACAATTAAAAATTTTGTAGTGTTATGTACTGTCAAGTCATTAACAACCCCTTGCTGACTAGTGAGTTTTTAGAGGTAGTAAATTGTGCAAGAGTTTGCCAGTCTTTCTCCTGCAGAGCAGCTGGCAGATTCAGACCATGGATTGGCAGTGCAGTTTCTCACAACTAAACCACCAGAGCTCCTTTCTAGAAGTCAAACTTTTAGAAATCAGGCATTTCTGGAATTTTTAAAAATACAGATCATTTGGAAAATGCTGTCCAAAATATAGAGAGCAACAGTGAGTGGTAGAATCTGTTCAGAAAGTATGTCCAGGAGCCAACATGGCTGTCACAGGATGAACAAAGCAGAACAATCTCAGTCAGTACCAAAGTAGGAATTTCCTAGAACTAAGAAATTTAAATATTTTTATTTTATTTAAACCCTATTTATAGGCACATGTTTCTGGTATAGAGGAATTCAGCCTCAAAAGGGATTTCTGAAACATTACTAGTAGTCCATCTCCTTTTAGATCTTAGGGCAGTGAGGACATCCAAGAAAATATTTGTGGGATGAAAGAAAATATGATGGCCTAATCAACACTCTTGAGACCAACAAGCAGTCACGAAATCAAAAGATGAGTTGCATTAGTAAAATTTGCTGTCAGGGACCTCTCCAGAGTGCTGAAGAACAGTGATATCACTCTAGAGACTTAAGGTGCACCTTATCCAGGCTATGGTCTTCATAGTTTCTATGCATAAGAAAGCTAGACAATGATCAAAGAGAACAGAAGAATTGATGCCTTTGAGTTATGGTGTTGGAGAAGAGTATTGAGCATACCATGAACTGCCAAGAGAACTAACAGGTCTTGGAGAGAGTGAAGGATTTTAAGGCTTCGTCTCACGTACTTTGGTCATGTTGCCAGGAGGGAGCAATCCTTGGAGAAGAGCATGATGCTTAGAAGGGTAGGGGAACAGCACAGCAGAGGAAGACCCCAGATGAGATGGATTGACACGGTAACTGGGGTTATGAAGGTAGGTTTGTCAAAGACTGAGATTGGCTAAGCATAGAGCAGGATTCAGCGCTATTGTGCATAGGGTTGCTATGAATCATAGTTGACTCAGTGGCACTTAACAGCTTCAGCAACCAAATTACTTTCCAGATAATTCATCTGAATGAATAGTTTAAAAGTGTTGTTAAGTCTTGAGGTTATTACTGGAAAGACTGGCTCCCTCACTTATCTTTGTTCTAATTTAGGAGTTGCCCAGGGGATCATAACTGGCATAAGAGGACTGTGCAATGGTCTGGGACCTGCATTATATGGCTTCATATTCTACATGTTCCATGTTGAACTCACTGAAATGGAACCAGAATTTAATTCTAATAAAGTTGTTATGCAGGTAAATTGTTAATAGGTCTAGTTTTCATATTAGCGGTAGTGAAAGATTATAGCAAAATCTTCTGACTAAATTTGGAGGAATTTCTATTTATGTGATATGTCTTTTTGGCAGTAGGAAGTACTGTATTCTGTGCTGCTTGAGTCTCTGATATAAAAGACTTATCCTAACTTGATTCAAAATGCTGTCCTAGTTAGACTTGTAAAGGAAAATATAAAATGACCTAACTATTCCATTCATATATTGAGCTATAATAATAGCATTCTTTAATATTTATTTCCTTTTTCAATCTAGTGATGGTATAGATTTATATATAGAAATGGAATTCATGTTCAAGTAGAGAAGTAGGCGATAAAAAGTCACTGGACAAGATTGGAGGTAGACAGCTACCACTACAGGCTTACAGATTTACTTATGTTATTGAAGTGCAAAGTTGCTGCTTGCCATATTCCAAACACTACTTTTTTTAGAATTTACCTTGTTTAATGAGGCAGTGATTTTTGAGATTTCCGTAGTTTGCTTTTTGGTGTACTTTATTTGATAATCCAGGACTTATTTGGGGTTGAAAAAACTAACTGACTTCATCTTCATTTGTTTCCCACACCCATCAGGGAGCTGTCATTCCAGGTCCGCCATTTTTATTTGGGGCATGCATAGTTCTTATGTCTTTTGTGGTTGCTTTATTTATCCCTGAATACAGTGAAGCCAGTGGAATTCACAAACATAGCAGCAGTAGCAGCAGCAACCTGACTAACACCCCACAGCGGGGCATTGATGAAGTCATTGAGCCACTGTTACAAGACACCAGCATATGGGAACTCCCTTCCTTTGAGGAGCCTGGGAATCAGTGCACTGAGTTGTAAAGTCAGCAGAAAGATGATTGTGCAAATGTTGTCTCAGAGAGCCAGGGAGTGAGCCACACCGCAAGAAGACTTCGTAGTTCAGAGACAAGTTTGATAATGATCCTCTTCTACTCATCCTTCTGCGCTCTTCTTTCTCCTCCTACCTCCATTCATCCATTCTTTTCCTTCGTACTCATTATAATAAAGTTGAGATTTGAAATAATTTACTGAAAATTATGTGCTGTAACTCTCAAGGCCACTTGAAATCTAAACTCTGAAGCTCAAATGGAAAAAGTTTTATCTCTAGTGGAAAAAAAAAGCCTTTTAGTAACTGCAGAATAAGGTTAGCAGGATTCTTTCCAGACCCATTTCAGCAGAAATTGTAGTAATATTGGCATGTCTGGCAAGTTTTCAGGTAAAGAATCCTTTCTCATTTTATTGCTCCTTATTGCTCTAAATATATGCCTACATAACCCATATATGAAGGACCAGGTTAAAAGTCACTCAGTATCAGAGATCTGTTGCCTTTGTAAAGGCCAAAGGAAAACTTCAAACCTAGTTTAATTTTCCTTTTATTTTTTTTACTTGCTATTTTTATCTAGAATGAAATCTCACACATACATTTATAGTCATACATACATGATCAGTGATTATCCTTACCTGATAAGGGGGGAAATGTCTTAAAATTTATATTATGTAGCACTATTAAATAATTATCCTAGACCTGGTGTCTTGATCCATAACAGAATGATTTTTATTGAAGAAAAGCACACCAAGCATTCTGGCAGTGACATAAATTAGAGCATGTTTCTAAAAATGTTTCAACTAATGTGAACATTCCTGAGTGTAGATTACAATTGTAACTGCTTACCAGTGTAGTTTACATTGTAGTTTAGGCTCACAGAATTTACCATTACTGTTTGTATTTTCCTAAATCTCAAATACTTTTTTCCATTTATCGAAACATCTGCCTTAGTTGTTTGTTATAGTATGCTTTTGGTTTCTTTAATAATCTTCATTTCAGCCTGTTTAACACACTTTTGAATCTCTTGGGAATATACACATCAAATGCAAAATATCGTTTAGTGAATTCAGTTTCACAGATACCTTTGTTAACTTTTTAAGATATGTAATGGGCAAATAAAAATTTACGGATTTATATGTATTTTACTACACTAGTATATGGTTATTAAATAGGGCCTTAATAAAAGCACTCCTTCAAAAGTTCCATAGCTATGAAATTGATGTATATATTTGTAAGGGGTTTTACATTTAATGGGGTGCTATGTAAATCTTTTATTTATAAATGCAATGAAAAAATATATTTACAACTTTTGTAAAGGATATTTACTGACTGAATAAATTTAAAAGAAAAATATATTTTGAAATCTGTTCTGCCATAGAGATAACATATCTTTTTACTACGTTGTTAAGTTTTTAAGTTAAGCTTCATAATGCATAATAAATTTTTAATGGTTATTTTTTGTCTTTTGTGTTTTTTAAAGCAAATAATACCATGAGTATTTACATTTTGGGTTTGTTTTTTGTTTTTGTCTTTTAATATTTTTTTTTATTTTAATCATGATTTTAATAAAAGTTTACAGAAGAGTTGGATTTTCATTTATTCATTCATTGTTGCACATTTTCCTTCCACCTTCTCCGTCAGTTCACGTTTTGTTTGGTTTTTTTAAAAAAAAAATTATTTATTTTTGCACAATTTCCTTCCTTCCCCCACCCCCTAGTCCTCTGCAATGTACTTCTTATTCTGGACCATTGTCCTGTATACAATGTCTAATCATATATTCCTTTTAAATAGTTCTCTCCCTCATCTGTTCCAATACAGTGTTTATTATCTATCCATTTTTTTCTTATCTTCTCCCAAAACTTCCCAACCCCTCAGGCCAGTCCTGCTTCATAACAGTGGTGTTATGCAGTATTTGTCCTTTTGAGACTGAGACATTTCACTCAGCATACTGTCTTCCCGGGTCACTCATGTTGTGTAATGTTTTATGTGTTAGTTGGTTTTTTCAGTGTTGCATAGTATTCCATTGTGTAAACATACCATTGTTTTTCTATCCATTTGTTTGTTGATGGGGGTTTGGGTTGTTTTCATATTTTTGTTATTGTGAATAACAGCAATAAACATGGGTGTGCATAAATCTGTTTGGATGGCAGTTCTGATTTCTTCTGGGTCAAAATGGTATTTCTCTTTTTCTATTTCCAACTTTTTATACATACATACATACATACATACATACACTCATACGTGCATACACACACACACACACACACACACACACACACATGCTTATTTACAAAGTTCATATACATTGTTTGACACCAGAGCCTTCCCATTTCTTCACTCTCACCCCAACCTATCAAATTGTGCAACCCTATGATTAATGCCCCCTCTGCCTATTCTTTCCCTGCTATTCCCTTCCCCCTTGGATCCTCATACTACTTGTATAATAATGGTCATACACAATATTTGTCCTTTTGGGTTTAGTTGGTTCACTTAGCATAATGCTTTCCAGTCCCTCCCAAATTAAATATTAATTTATAAAATCATTGCTCCTGCATACTGCATAGTAGTATTGTGTGAATGTACCATAATGTCTCAATCCATTCGATTTGGGTTGGATATTTGTGCTGTTTCCATGTTCTTGTGATGGTAAATAATGCTGCTGTGAACATTGGTGTTGAAGCCTCTGTGCCTCACTTCTCTTCCTCTTGGGGTATATTCCATGCAGTGGAATAACTGGGTCATGGAATTTCTCGAAAAACCAGCTCCTGCTCCTACTGATGGTTTCAATTGTTTTTCTGGTTTTTTTTATCTCATTTATTTCAGCTGTTGTCCTTTTATAATTTCTTCTAAAGGTTGTAGGATTAGATTGTTGTTCTTTTTCTGTTTGCTGAAGGTGTTGAGTTAGATCATTGATTTTTCTTTTCTAATTTTTTTATGATAGTTTATAGAGAATTTGGATTTCCATTCATTCATTGTTGCACATTTTCCTCCTTGCCTGACCCCAGTTGCATTTTTCTCTTTGAAAAAGAAATTCCTTCGTTGTTGAACAGTTTACCACCCTCACCCCAGTTCAGCTCTTATTCTGGACTGTTGTCATGCAAATAATACCTAATCATATATTTCTTGTAAGCAGTTCTTTCCCTCATCTGTTTCAGTGCAGTGTACATTATTTATTCCCTCTGTTCTTTGTTTCCTCCCAACCTCCATGTCAGTCTTGTTTTATAACAGTACCATTATGCAGTATTTGTCTTTTTGTGACTGAAATATTTCACTCAGCCTAATGTCCTCCATAGTCACCCATTGTGCATTTCATTAGTTTCTTCTTTTTAAGTGCTGCATATTATTCCATTGTGTGAATATACCAGAGCTGCTCTATCCATTCGTTTGTTGATGGGGACTTGGATTGTTTCCATCTCTTTGCTATTGGAAACAACACAGCAATAAACATGGTTGTGTGTATAATTGCTTGGGTGGCAGTCCTGGTTTCTTTGGGGTATGTTAACAGTAGTGAAATTGCTGGGTCAAATTATGTTTCTATTTCCAGCTTTTTGAGGAAGCACCATACTGTTCTATCCTGTGCCAGCCTCATTGTCTCTGACACACCTACTCCCACTCCCCTAATCACTAAATTGATCCATCTCATCAAGGGTCTTTTTCTCCTGCCTGTCCCTCCACCCTCCCAAACATGATGACCCTCTCCAAGGACTGGTCCCTCCTTGCAACATGCCTAAAGTATGTCAGATGAAGCTTCAGAATACTTGACTCAAAGGAGTACCCCAGCTTCACCCTCTCCAAAACAAACCTGTTCATTCTCCTAGCTATCTATGGTATATTCAACACTTTACCACCGCAGCTCAAAGGCATTAATTCTCTTTCTCTCATCCCTAGTCACTGTCCAGCTCTCTGATGCATAGCATGCAGTTGTCAAGACTATAGCCCAGATCAGGTGCACCTTAGTCTCCAGCCTGATATTGTTGCTCTTCAGTACTCTGGAGAGGTCTCTAACAGCTGACTTTCCCAATACAATTAGTCTCTTGATTTCCTGGCTGCTGGTACCAAGAGTGTTGATTGTGGAGCCAAGCAAATGAAAACTCTTAACTATCTCAATCTCTTCACCATCCATTCTGATGCTGCCAATTCTTTGTTTTCTTGATGTTGAGCTTCAATCTGTATTGAAGGCTGCAGTCCTTGACCACCTGCAGCAAGCGCTTCAGGTTCTCAGTTTCAGCAAGCAGGGTTGTGTCATCTGCAAAACGTAGGTTGTTGAGGAATCTTCCACCAATCCTGATAACACATTCCTCCTCATACAGTGCAGCGTCCCAGGTAATCTGTTCTGCAAATAGATTGAAAAGGTATGGATGGAGACAGAATGCATCCCTGGCTAACCCTCTTCCCAGTTTCAAACCATGCAGTCTCTTTCCTCTGTTCTGACGACTGCTTCGTGGTCCATGTTATGTTCTGGGATTCCATTCTTCTCAAGAGTCAGCCACAGCTTGTGAACCACACAGTCAAAAACCTTTGCATAGTCAATGAAACACAGATAGACATTACTCTGGTACTCTTGGCATTCTGCCAAGATCCATCTAACATTAGCTATAATATCTCTAGTACCACGACCTCTTCTAAACCCAGCCTGCACATCTGGCAGTTCTCTGTTGATGTGTTGCTCTAGTAATTTTTGGACAATTTTCAGCAGAATCTTGCTAGCATTGATATTTATGATATTGTTCTATGGTTTCTGCACTCTGTTGGGTCACCTTTCTTTGAAATAGGAACAAATAATAATCTCTTCCGCTAGTGGCCAGCTGGCTGTCCTCCAGATTTCTTGGCAGAACTTAGCACATCCAGGGCAGCATCTGTTTGTTGAAATATGTCAGTTGATATGCCATCAACTCCTGGAGCCTTGGGTTTTTGCCAATTCTTTGAAGGCAACTTGAACTTCCTCCTTCATCACCACAGGCTCTTTCTCGTATGTTATTTCATGAAATTTTTCTATGTTAGCCAATTTCTTCTGGTACAGTGACCAGTTTTCCATCTTCTTTTAATGCTTCTTGGATAATTTAACACACTACCC